AGGTATTAGACAGGGAGCTAAAGGATTTGTCCACCTTGGTAAATCAGGAATTAGAAGGTGTGAACCAGATTATCACTAGCCAGCCTCCAGAAGTACCTGCTCAGTTATTGAAGGCTCTTGAGAAAGATGCTAAGAATCTTCAAAAGTCTCTCAGCTCTGTGACTGACACTTGGAATCCCAGGCTGCTCAACCTCCAGAGTGCTGTGGACATGAAAAAGGTAAAGGTTCTTGTCTTTATTTATAAAGGCTCATCAAGTCTAAGGGGGCTCAAAGATTTTTGTAATCTGATTTGCCATTATTTCCTAGACTAAAATGTTAAATCAACAAGTACAGCTGGAAGGTAAACTTCAAGATCTGAAATCCTGGCTTGACAATACCAGTCTTACCCTGAAAAGCAAAGACTGTAACAGTGAAACAGATGCTGACAGCCTAAATCACTGGCTCCAACAGTGCAAGGTAAACTCTTCATGCATTCTGAAGCATATTTTTCCATGTGGGTTTATAGATTTTATTTTTCTACTAGGCAGAGCAGTTAAGGTCCTTTCTTAGTATGGTTTTCCATATCAGAAATAAAATCTGATATTTAGTTTTTAATTTATTGTATGTCTAGAGCTTTTGTGCTTATGACCACTTCTCTTTTCATCTATTCTTTGGAGAGAATCTGAATCTTAACCTATTATTCGAACTACAGCTCCTCTATTTACAACCTGACCCATATTTCCATTCTGTCAAGGACCTAATTCCCCACTCCTACTTCTGCCCCACCTCCCACTGCCAACTGCAGTGCATTTTTTTTAATTTGTAATTTTAACAAAAGTTTAGAGAAACGTTAGATTTTCATTCATTCTTTGTTGTACATTTTTGTGTAAAAAAACAGAAGAATTTTGATCCATGATACAGACCGTGGATTGACAAACTTTTTGTAAAGAGCAGTCAGTAAATTTACTGGGTTTGTGAATGATACAGCATCTAGGGTGGCCATTCATATCCACTCTAGTGGGAAGAAGTAGCCCGAGGCTCTCTATCAGGGAACAGATATGGTTAGGTTCTGCCAGAACTTTATTTCAAAAACACTGCTTCAAAAAAAAAAAAAAAAAAAACACACTGCTTCGTCTTTGACTAAGTTGGAACAATACCAGAGATGTTCTCTCCTTTTCTTGTCACATTATCGCCCCTTCCCTCTCCCTTGTCTTAAGAGAAAGAGACAAAATTTTGTCCATGGTCAGCCTCCTTGAATACATCCTTATCAGGTTACATTTAAACTTTTTGTTGTGATTTGAGTGAAAGTTGGCAGAGCAGGTAACTATTCTATTCAGCTGTTCATACACATTCCATTTTGTGACATTTCTTACACTCCCGCTCATCACTGCATCCAGGAAGTTCTTATTTCTACCCATCCTTCTATCCCTCCTTGCCTCTTTTTATCTCACTCTTTCGTACCAGAGTTGCTGCCCTCTTTCATGAACATTTGAATTCAAAGTAATGATATCCAAATATCATTTTCCTTTCTTGTTTTGGGGAAAGAGTAACAGACTTTACCAGTTCTCTTACAAGATACTACAGAACGAAACAAGTGTGAAAAATTCCCATGAGATATATAAAGAAACAGCATCTCATGTGTTGGTTCTTTTCCCTAGTTAAAGCTTATAAGAACTTTTTTATAGGAAGAGGATTAATAGTCCAAGCTTGTTGCCTCGTGATAGTTTCTGAACTCCACACGTTCACAGATGAAGGAAGCATTCTCATATAATAAATACTCAAGAAGTTCTCCATGCTTTTTTGACAGAATTGTCTGTAAGTCCCCTGTTGTTGTTATGTGCCATCAAGGTGCCTGTGACCCATAGCAACCCTATGTACAGCAGCTCTAAACAATGCCCTGTCCTGAGCCAGTCTCACTAATTCCGACACACCAACCCTCATTACCCCAGTTATAAGTCCCCTATGGATCCTTATGTCAAAATGACAGAACTGTACATCTCCTCACTTTTTACTGAATACACCGTAACATGGTTGATAAAAAGGAAACATTTATGGGAAAAATCCAGATGTTTAATTGATTTTCTGAACTTAATTATAGTGTTTTTACTTCTAGCCAGTTTTAACTTCTTTAAAGGAACAATATAATAAGTCTGACTAAAATGTTCAGAGTTCTGGTATGTTTAAGCAACATTTTTCTAAAAATAAATTCTACGGAAACTACCAGAAAATATATATTTACTCAGTACTGGCCTATACCGATAACGTAGTGCTGGATGAATACAAATAAATATTTGAATCTAAGAAAGTATAATTAGAAAGGTAAATGTTAGACCAGATATTCATCTTATACTTTCCAAAATGTTTTTGTTTTAAATTTCTAGAGATTTTAGATAAATAATACTGTAGCATTTGGGGAGATATTTTTAGCATAAATAATTGACAGTCCTACTGTATTACAAAGTCAAAGTCTAGTAAAGGCACGTAATTGTAATTTATGAGATGTTTGGAGAGGCAGGAAGTAGAGTTGTCTAATACTAGCTTGGCCCTAGAATTCATTCATGTCAATTGTGAAAAGAGGAGAAAGTAACCTCTTATGTCATTCTTTGATTAGCCATTTGTGCCTATATGAAGAAAGAAATAAAACTTTTCATCTTTTTCTGTTTTTTTGTCCCTCTGCTTCCCTTAGGATTTCAAAGAGCCCATGACTGAAAGGAAATCTCAACTGGATGCTCTTGCTTTTGATATTCAACTCTTTATTTCTGAGCATGCACAGGACTTGTCCTCTCAGCAAAACCACCAGATGCTGAATCTTCTGAACGAGTTGCACAGGTCCTTTGAGGACCTTGCCCAACAGACTACAACTCAGATGAATGCCTTGCAGGGCCGTCTTCAGCAGCTGGAACAAGCAGCCCAGGTGAAGGTCAGACAGAAACAGCAGCTGGACTCAGTTTGTCTTTTGGGATGTCCTCTGTCTTTGGATTTCCTAGCCAGACTATTTGTCATGTCAGTTTTGAAATTTCATGTCAATTAGGCCAGTATCATTCTAGTCCCAGGAGCAGCTGGTCTGGCTTTTTTTCCTCGCAGTGTTTTGGTTTTGTATGTAAGAGCATGATTGAATGCATGTGCAAGTGTTTACTTTTTAGTGGGATGCCCTTCACTGTGTCTCATTGTCTCACTTTCAAAAGAAAATCACATACCCAGCCCTTTCCACCTCTACTCTTTTCCTTAGTATCCTTGTGAGGGTTATTAGAACTGTTTAGATACGCTGAAATTTTGAGCATAATGTTTTTAAAATCAGTTTTATCTTGGGGATTGTCAGGTGATTTGCAGTAAGCCTCCTTGACATCCTTCAAACCGATGACAAAGACATTTTTATAAGAATTATATTGATTTTTAGCACTTCTTTTTAAATTACTGTTGTTCTCCAACACCTTTATAGAAACAGGGCTGATAGATTTTGGGGGGGAAAGATCTAGCCATCTTCTCATTTTTCATTTACAACCCTCTTCTTGTGAAGCTCAACATAATGACATAAGTGGTAAAATAATTTCTGCTATTTGGACAAGTTGGCATACAGCAAAATGATAGTATAATTGTCAATATCATCAGCAACAAATATGTACTAGGAACTTCTTTATTAAATATTGTATAAAATAATGACTTGAGCTTTGGAGTCAGGCTTAAAGGGAACTAGGTTAATCAGTACCATATAGCCTTCATTACCGTTTAGTTATTCCAACTATAATGAACTTGTAATGCTTTATTTATCATCTAAATCTGCATGTCCCTTAGTTAGGAATTTGGATAATATGGTGTGCTCTGTGACTAAATGATGACATTGCGTTGGTGTGAGCACTTTAAGGCATAGCCCCGATCCAGGGTAGACTCCTGAGCTGCAGTAGGTGATAGGATTGCATGTGAATACTCTCCCTGAGCACACAATTAATTCCACAATATTTATTAACCTTGTTATTGCCAAAAATGCTCTGCTTCTCTATATATTCCCTGAATGCATGTCTATGTCTGTGTTAACTTGTTTGCTTTGCTTTTTTCAGATTCAGTCTGCACCCATCCTAACACATGAAGATACCGTTTTACAGCTGAAGAACTCTTACGAGTTCTCTTCCAGAACCCTTCTGTTTGTCCAAAGAGGGGGAGCAAGGGTCAATTTGAGCACCTGTTTGTAAGTGCAGGTGACTAAAATACCATCAGATGGTAGACACTGGTGGAAAATGGTTTTAGAAGGACGGTCAGGAGAACACATCATGCTCAATTGCTCTATCAGGTGCTTCAGTGTCATGCAAATAAGATGAGAGCTGGAGAAAGGATAAGGCACAGAAGCATACTCCCCTCCTCCCCTTGCCTGGCTCTTTCCTTGAATATCACTGTAATCACCCAAAGGATGAAGTAATTGCTATTCTTGGATAATTTCCTCCTCAAAATAGCCAACTCAAGGCCCTCATATCTGGCATGTAATCATTCTACTTAATGGGTTTTTGCATTTGTGAGATACCTGATTTATAAAGTCAGTTCAATTATTAAGAAGACAAATTATTTTATGAATTATCCAAATCCTTGATTTTTTCCCCCTTGAGTCCACTTTTTCTAATTTTACATATTTTGGCTTAATATGTAGCAAATCCCCTGACTCTAGGGGAGGAGATGATAAGAACCACCAATTTCTTATCTTTACTCGTATGATCTATGAATTGAAGACATATGGCCTCTCTGCCTTACATTTCCAAATAACAGGAGATAATAACAGCAGCCTAACAAAACAAAAATCATCTAAACTGGGAGCATTTTCTCCTAAAATTACCTCTGGTTATCATCCAGACCAAATGCCATAGTCAACAAGGGGAACTTTCGGAGTATAACTTTTATGTCTCTTCCTGTTCCAGTCTCTCACCAACTTTTCCATCTTTGATATTAACCTTCCTATTTTACCTTTCAGGATATTATCTTATGTTTGTGAAATGAGAATATTTAATTGTTTCTCCACCCCTTTACATTTTAATTAGACCCTGCAGAAACAGCAAAATACCTGTCATCAGAAACTGGAGGATCTTTGCAACTGGGTAGAACAGGCAGAAAGAACATTGGTGTCTCAGCAAGGCAGAGCCGTCCAACAGGACCTTGCTGCCTTACAAAAGAACCAGAGTGATTTGAAGGTGAGTGTGCATTAATCCATATATACTTTCTTCCGTTCCTTCAACAGGTATTCATGAAGTCTTACTTTGTGCCGCATAAGTGGCCAATTAAGAAATACGCAGAAGCTTATTCATAAAGTAGTAGGAAAAGAAAGAAAGCATACCAGACAAAAGGCTTTGTGTTAGACTTGAGATAGAGATCAAGGATAACATATTTAAGGAACTGAAGGAAAACTAGTTTCACTGGGCCTAGAACAGGGTAACATTGTTTGAGACTGGAGAGACAGGTGGGAACTAGCTCATACTGATCCTTGTAAGCCCCATTCAAGACAGTGAGTGATGACCAGGAAAGTGTAAAGGACCAGTGAGGCTTCAGCTCTGCTAGAATAATTCATTGCAAAATAGAACTCTCTGCTATTTGACATGTTTTAGGAATCTTCTTTTGCCTTCCTTAAATATTTGCATAGAATATTAAATTTTTCTTAAATATTTCTTTGCATTGGTTTAGGCCTAAACCTTAAGCAAACTATAGTCAAGGACATGTATGTTCATTGCAGAAATGTCTTCTGAGTCATTGCATCTTTGACTTTCAAGGGCTTAGAATTTCCTAAGCTGAAGTCTCTAATAGCCCTCTTTTCCTGTGTTAAGGATTTACAGGACGACATTCAGAATCATGCCTCTACATTTGCCAATGTTGTCAAAGATATTGAAGGGTTTCTGGAGGAGAATCAAAGCAAGCTCAGCCCCCACGAGTTGACAGCTCTTAAGGAAAAGCTTCATCAGGCTAAGGAGCACTATGAGACTCTCCAGGGTCGGACCCGGCTAGCCCAAAAGGAGCTGGAGGAAGCAGTGACTTCAGCCTTACAGCAAGAGACGGAAAAGGTAACCAGATTGCTGTCATACTTGTTGTTTTTCAAAAAGAAAGTTTTTGTACCTGTACAAAAGGGAAAAGGGCCTCAATGTACTGGTGTGTAATGTGTCAGACTGCGAACAGAAAGGTTAGCTGTCCACATTTAGTACCAATTCTTTGACAGAAAGATGGTGACCCACTGGAGGTCACTATGAGTCAGAATTTTCTGAATAGCGGGGTTCTTAGTTTTTCATTGGGTACAAAATAAGAGCACATAGAGAACACAGCATGCCAGAAAAGGACTACTTTAGGATGTAGTCAGTTGGTCCATTTTAATTTTACAAGAAACACCCAGAAGGACTTTTTTAAGCAATTTCTTTTTTATTTGAGTGACAGTTTATAAATCTCATTGGTTTTTCATACAGAAGGACTTTTAAATCAGGAGTGATTGGTAAAGGCTGCCTATTATAAAATACACATTTATTAAGTATATATTTATGTACATATTTATATCCAGAGAGAGATACTGCTCTTTGCATACTCAGTGCTCTAGCTGTTTAGAACAGTCCAGCCTTGAGAATGTAGTACATAGAGCATAGTTACAGTGGAAATCATAGTTACAGTGGGGTAAACCAAACAGCAGATAAAGGCTGAAAATATCTTTTACACCTCACTTAGCACTGGCCACTTGAATTGTAATCATTTGTTTGCTTATAGGCTCTAACTCCAGTGAATAAAGTAGAAAACATAGAAAAGAGGAAATAAGTTATACAAACATGTCATTTCAGATACATGTCAGAATATGTGCCAATTAGTAGATACATAGGTAAATAAATTAACAGCTCTGGTGTCTTAGTGGTAAGGAATTGCACTGCCAACACAAAAGTACATGGTTCGACTTTACCAGCTGCTCGTTAAGAAGAAGATGAGCAGACTCCTCCTGTGTGATTTACTGCCTCTGAAAACCTTGTGGAGGGTCAGTTCCAATTTGACAATGCACAGCAACAACATTCAATTTACTAAAAGACTTTCATCAGAAAATGGAATTTGAGAGAAAAAAGAAAGAACTCAAAGTTCTGCTTGGTAGAGAAAAGGATGAGAGAAGGCTTACCTTGACCAGTGTGTCACTTCTGTATCTTGGGAAAAGATTCCCTCTAGTGCTGCTGAAGTGGTAATTGTTACTAATATTAGGTGCCATCGAGTCAACCACAACTCATGGCAACCCTGTCAATGACAGATTGGACCTTTGCCCTGTCCTGTGCCGTTCTTGACATCTGTGCTCTCCTCAAGCCCTTGTTGCAGTCACTTCCATAGTCCATTTCATTGAGGGATTTCCTCTCTTGCTGACCCTCTTCCTTCCCCAGGATTGATGTCTTTTACCAAAGACTGGCCCCCAAAAAATATGTCTAAAATATGTAAGACAAAGTCTCATTATTCTTGCCTTTAAAAAAATAGCCAATTGCACCTCCTGGTTGTTGGGGTTGTTATTATTGTATACCTTTCAAGTCAGAACCATGGGTTCATAGCTGACCCTGCAGCAGAATTTCAGAGACAGAAAATTGCACAGGAGGAGATTGTCCATCCTTCTCCCATGGAGCAGGTGGCATATTCCAACAGTTTATCTTTGGGATGGATTGCAGCTCTGTTTCTTACCACTAGGCCACCAAAGCTTCTGGCTTTTGGGGTAAGAGAACTAAATAATCTCTTAATAAAAGTCTTCTCAAATCCAGGAATTACCCCTTTTTCTTGATATTAAGCAGTGAAACACAGAAGAAATTCATTTTCCGCAGATCTGGAGTTAGATCCTTGCTGTGTGTTTAGAGATGGCTTCTTGTTGCTGTTGTTTGCTGTCAAACGTGAACTGACTCATAGGTGACCCTCAACTAGTTTTCAGAGGTTGTATATGCCATAGGAAGATTGTCTCCTTTTTCTGCCAGTTGAGCAAATCATGTGCCCTGAATTGGCAGCACAGTTCCTTACCACTGGGTACCAGAGCTCCCTAGAAACAACTTATATCCTGTTACAAAGCTTGTCTTTTCTTTAGTGTAAAATTTTTCTACTCATTACTTAACTTGTGGTTGTATTCATGCCTTCTTGAACTAATTCTATTTTCAGAGTAATGCAGCAAAGGAACTGGCAGAGAACAAGAATAAAATTAATGCTCTCTTGGACTGGGTGACTTCATTGGGACCATCTGGTGGGCAGCTGCAGACCAGCCTTCCAAGAATAGAACAGGTGTCAGGATCTAACCTGGGGAGAGGCTCATTGGATGCCACTGATGGTCAAGTGAGGGTGAACCAAGCCCCAGAGAAGCTGGATGAGCAATGTGAGAAGATAAAGGTGAGGATGCTAACTTGTCTTCACTGGGAGAAACACTTCTGCTCTGGTCAAATCAACATGAACTCCTTGCTCTAAATCCAGTGAGCACTTCTCAACCATATCTTCTTTCTTTCCTTTCCTCTATCCAGTTCTGAAATACTGATGTGCTTCATTTGATCCTCTTCTCTGTGAAGGTGGTCTCAGCCACTCACAGTACTTCCCTTATCAGTTGCACTAATGAGTAGCAAGTGGGAACTGACCCATAGCTGACCCACCAGTGGATTTTCAGAGGCAGTTAAGCACATAGGAGATTTCCTATCCCTCTTCCATGGACCAGCTGGTAGATTTGAACCATGTGCCTTCAAGATTGCACCACAGCTTCTTACCACTAAGCCACCAAAACTTTTTCTTTCTTTATTCCTACTCAGTTGCCTAAATTAATTATCAACTGAGAGTCCTTTCTTTTTCTTAACTCTGCTGTATCAAATCTGTCATCACACCCCATAAAGTTTGCTTATCTCTCTAAGTGATTTCCACTTCTTCACTTCCATCGAGATGTTAATATGGCTTAGAACATTATCAGCTTTCACTTGTATTATTATAGCAGCTCCTACTTGTCTTTTTGTATTTTGACATTTACCCTTAATTCGTTGCCTCTCTACCTCATGGTCTTTCTGAAAAGCTATATGCCTGTTTTAAGTCTTTTGCCCTTAACTTAAATGCCAAATTCTAAGATGATTTATAAAGCCCCCCTCAGGATCTGTCAGTGCTTATCTGGCCTCATCTCTAAACCTCACCTCACACTCTCCTCTGGGCCTTTGCATACTTTCAGAGCTCTCTCTGTCTTCTTGTAAATGAGGGACCCAGGTGTAGGTTAGTTTTTACTCCTCTTCAGATCTTAGCTTAGATTTCACTTTTATAAAATCCTCCTTTACCACTTCCCAGTTAGATTACCTATTGCTTCTATTCTATAAGTTGCTCTCAACCTTCTCTGCATCGTAGCATTTCTTACGCTGTTTTATATTTTTGGTTTTTATTGCCCTGTAGATGTGAAGTCAGAAACTCCTTGCTCATTTTGTATTTCTGTCCTGAAATGACATGGCATGGTATGTGAAGCTGCTACCAGGTTAATACATGCTAAAGCTGGACAACTTTGGAGTTGGGGGGAAATGTAGGCTAGATCCCTTCTATAGATAGTTGCATTGACAGTATAGATAGTCAGAAATTCTCCCTGAACTCTTGCTGTCCTCTCTCCGGCCTGGGAAAAACATGGTTTAAAAAATGCTCAGTTGTCTTCAAAGAACCAGTATTCCAGCGTAATAAAAGAGAAGTTTGCATATGTGTATCTAGACATAGCATATACAAAGGACAAATTAGTTACTCTATTCATGGAAGCTCATGTGGCCTAGAGGCAAAAAGCTGCGCTGTAATCCAGGGCTACCAGCTGCTCTGTAGTAGAAGGATGGACAGTCTCCTCCTATGTGCTTAAATGCCTCTGAAAACCCACTGGATGGTCAGCTGTGGATCAGTTCTGACTCTACAGCACACAACAGCATTCATGTATAGGAGTTCTGGTGGCCTAGTGGTAAGAAGCAGCACTACAATCCCAAAGGCAACAGTTTGAATCCAAATCCATCAGCTGCTTTGTAGCTCTGAAAGCTGGCTGGAAGGTCAGCTATGGATCATTTCCAACTTGACAACACTCAACAACAATTCAAACAGCTTACTTCTTTTTCTATGTGGTGGTTGTTATTTACTTTCACTGATCTAAAATGATTTTTTTAGTAAATTATTTCCCAAGATCTTTCCTAATAGGGCGGGCAGTTTCCCTGAACATGTAACATATCCACAGCTAAATATCTGTAATTTTTGCATTATTCTATGTATGATTTATCCCACTTAATCTTCCCCTCCGTGAACATGGGTAATCATTTGTTGGCCATTTTTATTCTCCTGTGTTGTTGTTGATTTCAGTTGAGTCAGTGACGACTCATAGAGACCCTATTAACAAAAGACCTGAAGTCTTTCTATATAACTATTGTTAATTTTCCAAGTTCATAAAGTTTCCATAGGCATGTGTTTTAGGAAATGGATGCACCTCCTGCTTCCAAACCTGTCTTAAACTGGGAGCTCCACCAAACACTGTCCACCATGGCAACTGTTATGGCATTTGACATCCAGATGGCACAAGGATCAACATCACAGCAAACCCAGATTATCTCAATTTGGCAAGCTGACAAAAGAGTGCTGTATGGTTTAGAAGTATGTTCCTCCAAAATATAACAACTCTAGACGCGAGGGCCATAGGCCTGTGGGCTCAACTAAATTTAAAAACCAAGGCACTCCATGAGGTCCTTCATTCCACAATCCTTCATAATCAGACATCCCATTGGCTCTCACCAGAGCAGAAGTGCCCATCATAGAGCAGTCAGCTGCTGCCTCAATCTCCAACTGAATTTAATAACGCACTACTAGAGTTAAGTGGTTTAGAGAGGCAGTCTCTGGTCATAGTTCTCTCTTAACTGTGTTATCTTAGTTAAGACATTCATATCTTTTTGCTAATACACTTACCTCATCTTGAGTAAGAGTATTATATTGCCTCCCACATCGCAGAGTTGTGTCACAAATCACTTTGACTGCTGTTAAGTTTTTTGTGTATCAGTTATTATATGCAGTTAGAGTGTGTATAATAACTGAAAAAGAGTGTGAGATACTGGTAATTTCTGAGAAGCTAGAAAAGTGGGCTAGTAAGACCTCTCTTTACCTCTAACAGTGTTGTTGTTTTTGTTCGGTGCCATCAAGTTGACTGTGACCCGTGTGAACCCTATGAACAACAGATTGAAACCTTCTCTTTTACCATGATGCCGTCACTGTGTCTGTCAATCCATCTTGTTGAGAATCTTCCTCTTTGACTGATCCTTTTATTTTTTCCAGCAGGTTAACCTTTCCCAAAGACTGGGGCCCCCTAACAACCTGTAGCAGGAAACAAAGCCAAAATAATTATCATTTCCTTACTGTCTTTTGTTTTGGAAAATTTCTTTTCCAGGCCCGTCACCAAGAATTGCTATCCCAACAGCAAAATTTCATCCTGGCCACCCAGTCAGCTCAAGCCTTCTTGGACCAACATGGCCACAATCTCACATCTGAGGAACGGCAGGTGCTGCAGGAGAAACTGGAAGAGCTAAAGGAACAGTATGCAACTTCCTTGGCCCAGTCAGAGGCAGAGCTGAAGCAGGTGCAGACCTTACGGGATGAGTTGCAGAAGTTTCTGCAGGATTACAAAGAGTTTGAAAACTGGCTGGAACGGTCTGAGAAAGAGCTGGAGAATATGTACAAAGGAGACAGCAGTCCAGAAGCACTTCCTTCCCTGCTGAAGCGGCAGGGGAGCTTCTCAGAAGATGTGATTTCCCACAAAGGAGACTTGAGATTTGTAACTATGTCCGGACAAAAAGTCTTAGACACAGAAATCAGCTTTGAGAAAGGAAGTGAACCGTCAGCAACTGGAAACTTAGTGAAGGAGAAGCTGAGAGATGCGACAGAAAGATACACTGCTCTCCACACAAAGGTAAAGGAGGTGTTCTCATTTTCATGGCAGCCCTCATTCTAGGGCTCATAATAAGAAGGGAGAACTCATCTGTATAGTAACCTTAGGTGGAGTGTGTTCTGGAACTCTTGGCAAAAGTGCAAATCATGTAGGGCCCTGGGCTAATGTCTGATCTTAGCAGCATTCAGGTTTAAAGCCCTTGGTAAAGCTATAGGTGCCTATCCTCCTCTATCCTGACTAGACACTTGAGTTCCCAACAGACACAGCATAGGTAATCTTGTGTGTTTGTGTATGTATGTATGTATATATATGTGTGTGTGTGTTTTTGTTGCCTTCAAGTTGAGCACAACTCAGCAACCCTATGAACAAAAGGCCTGCAGCCCCTCTACAACTGTCGATATTTATCAGAGTGTGTGTGTGTGTGAGAGAGAGAGTGTGTGTGTATAACTATCATCCTGATTTATTTGTTTATTATTATTTATTTTTAATCGTTATTTTAATGATAGTATACAGAAATATTGGATTTGCATTCATCCATTGTTGTGAGCACAGAGAATCTTAAATTATACAATCTTATTCCTGTACAGAACATCTAGTGGAAATCTTTCTTTCCCTAGAACATCACCCAGCTGCTAAGGTTTATAATCCAGTCAGTTTTTACTTCTGTTATGTTTTCTACTAACATCCCAAACCTCCCAAAAAGATTTATTGCACATTTTAATACCTGTCTTCTCCTGCAATGTGATTTATTGCAGGCAATTTTTTTTTATTACAAGCAAAAATATTTGTTGAGTGACTTGTATAATTTACAAAAAGTTGCTATATGTAATAAGGTTGTATGAATAGAATGAAACAAGCAATAATGATCCTTCTTGTGGAAAATGGTACGAAGTTTATTTGGGGAGCTCTGATAATGTACTCTGTAGGGAGTTGTACTGTTAACCCAAAGGCTGTGCTGCTTCCATGATTCAAATCCAATGGCTCTGGGGCACAAAGATGGGAAATGGGGCACCTATTCTGTTTGTTGTTGTTGTTGATTGCCTTCGAGTTGATCACGACTCATAGCAACCCTATGAACAAAAGGCTGGAAGCCCCTCTACAACTGTTGACATTTATCAAAGTTCAAAGAGTTTCCAGAGGCATGTTATTTAGGAAGTGGATGCCACTCCTGCTTCCAAACCTGTCAAAGTATGTTACTGTTGTTATGTGCCATGGAGTTGCCTGTGATGTATAGCGACCCTATGTACAACAGCTCTGAACCCTTCCCTGTCCTGAGCCAGTTTCACTAATTCCACCATACCAACCCTCATTGTCACAGTTGCTGTATCAATCCATCTCATCTGGGGTCTCCCTCTTTTGCGCTGTCCATCCACACATCTGAGCATGATGTCCTTCTCCAAGGACCAATCTCTCCTTGTCATGTGCCCAAAATAAGTGAGGCAGAGCTTCAAAATCCTAGCCTCCAAGGAGAGCCTTGGTTTCACCCTCTCCAAGACAGACCTATTTGTTTTTTTTGGCAGTCCATGGTATGTTCAAGACTCTTCTCCAGCACCACAACTCGAAAGCCTCTATTCTTATTCTGACATCCTTTGTCATTGTCTAACTCGGAAGTATAACAAGTAATTTAGAAGTCCATGGCCTAGATTCTGTTTACAACCTTGGAAATGCAAGGGGGTGGGCAAAATGCATGTTTCAGCTATGAGTCAGTTTGACTCAACAAAGTTAAAGTTTTTTAAACTACTCATCTACTCATAGAATCCAAGCATGACTCTTTTTCTTTCTCTCTTTAAGCATGTGTGCAAAGAGTAAGGATGTGACATTCTTCTGTGTACTACTGATAAATGTCAGATGTTTCATAATATCTTGTTAGTTTTAGCCAGACTGTGTAAAGTTACTGATGCTAGCTGTATTTTTACAAGAAAGAGCAAGTTGTTAACCCATACTCACATAGGTATTAAATGTTAGATAAGGCTTTTTTATTATTTTCCCCAGACCTCCCCCTCTGACAGAATTTAAAGCATTACTCTTAAGTGAGGTTTAAGGTCTCTGTATCAAATCCAGGCTTCTTTCTTTTTGCTGTCTCAGGAAACTGCTGTCTTTGGCCTGACTTTACTTAGGTCTGCTTCCCTTTTTTTCTCTCGCACAGTGTTCTCGGCTGGGCTCTCACCTGAACATGTTGCTAGGTCAGTATCAGCAGTTCCAGAACAGTGTCAGCAGCCTTCAGGCCTGGATGAAGACTTGTGAGGCCAATGTGGAGAAGCTTCTGTCAGATACTGTTGCCTCTGATCCTGATGTCCTACAACAGCAGCTCGCTACAACTAAGGTAACCCAGGATGGAGGCTGTATTGGAGCGTCAAGGTGTTGTATTAAATGGTTTAGTGGACCAATTACCATTTAGCAATGGTAAATACTTACATAGGTTAAAGACAACAGTTGAGATGATTTGAACCTAAACATTTTGTTCTCACCTCTGAAAATTTATTCTTAGAAAAATTATTTTCTAGAGCTGCTTTGTATTTCTAGAGACCTAGAACCAGCTTTGACTACTTACTAAAGATATTCTTCTTTTATCCTCTCTAACGGATAAGCAGCAGTTGCAGGAGGAATTGGCCGAGCACCAAGTACCTATAGAAAAGCTCCAAAAAGTAGCTCATGATCTCATGGAAATTGAAGGTGAGCCAGCTCCAGACCACAAGCAAGTTCAAGAAACTACAGGTATGGAGCAGCAATAACCACAGCTGATCAATTATTTCATTCATAGTATGTACATCTATAATACATCACATTGCGCTGTACAAGTATCTGTGGTACTAGATAGAAACTGAGACTATAAAGATGAACAGACAGACTGTCATCAAGTAGCTTTCCCTCTCCTGAACTTTAGTTCCCCCATGAAAGGCTTTAACCTGTTTGTCCCAGGTATTCTGCCTTCCAGATATATCCTGCTTCTCTCCTTTCACTAGCAGACAGTCATTCCTTCATTGCTTTTTCCATGGAGCCTTCCCTATTATTTAGCTGCTAACACATGTTGGGTGTGGTTATCATGTATAACAAAATTTGCTCATGCTTCAATATGTAGCCAAGAGGTCAGTCACCTTTTTTTGGAAGGTCCTGACTACTACTTCTATCACTTCTCTGCAAGAAAGCCAAAAGATAGAAAATAATCAGTCTTCCTACTCAGCTTCTATACTGTAGTATTCTTAGTACTTTGGATAGGGAGGACTGGTGGCCTAGTGACAAGAAGCTGGGCTGCAATTCCAAAGGCATGCATTTCAAGTCCACCTGCCACTTGGTGGGAGAAGGATGCGGGTTCCGCTTCTATGCGATTAACTACCTTTGAAAACCTACCATGGAGGTCAGACATGGGTCAGTTCCAACTCTATGGTACTTAACAACAGTAATTTCATTTTTATTGTTTGCTATAATGTACCTTCTTTAGCCTAGGGTATGAGATACTGGCCTAACAACTGTTATAGTCTTCAAGTTTTCATGAGACTTATCTTAATTAGCTTTAGACTTCAGCTTCTAGCACAATTTCTGGCACATAATAGGGGTTAAGTAAATAATGCTTATTGAGTTTGGCTCAGACTTCAATGAATGTCAAGCTTACTCTATTAGTTTGCCTTAACATCTACTGTTACTACTAGTATGCAGTTTAAATATGTAATTTTTTAAAAACACCGAGAGCAGTAGTCTCCACTCCTTTTTTTTCTCTGGTCTTGGTTTCCCAGATTCCATACTGAGCCGTTTCCAGAGCCTTTCCTGCAGTCTGGATGAACGTTCTGCTTTGCTGCAAAAGGCAATTGCTCATTCTCAGAGTGTCCAGGAAAGCCTGGAAAGCCTGTTGCAGTCCATCAAGGAAGTTGAAAAAAACTTGGAAGGGGAGCAGGTGGCTTCACTGTCATCAGGAGTTATCCAAGAAGCCCTGGCCACTAATATGGTAACACCTGTACCCCTAGGGTTACCAACTAATTATGTTTACTGTGTGCTGTAATTTTATTATTGGCGGGGGAGAGGGCTTGGGAAAATAAGTTAAAGAACGCTATCTCATAAATATTTTCTCATAAAATTGAGAGAAAATGATTGATTAAATATATTTCTACCCTTGTTGAACTTAAGAAAAAGTGATAACCATATCCATTGATGAAATAGGGTGAAGGACTAAGGGGATAAGATGTATGGTATTCAGAAAGCTTAGTTGTGATTCTCCAACCCTTCTTGAGGAATTGAGCATGCAGTTTATTAGAAATGTATTAGTCTGTGGCTCAGATATCCTGAAGTAAGCGAGCCAGAGCTAATGGAGGTGTTCTTAATTTAATGGCAGAAATTGAAGCAGGACATTGCTCGGCAAAAGAGCAGCTTAGAGGCCACTCGTGAGATGGTGACCCGATTCATGGAAACCGCAGACAGCTCCACAGCAGCAGCACTGCAGGGCAAACTGGCAGAAGTGAGCCAGCGCTTTGAACAGCTCTGTCTCCAGCAGCAAGAAAAAGAGAGCTCCCTTAAGAAGCTTCTGCCCCAGGCAGAGATGTTTGAGCATCTCTCTGAAAAATTACAGCAGTTCATGGAAAACAAAAGTCGGATGCTGGCCTCTGGAAATCAGCCAGATCAAGACATTGCCCACTTTTCCCAGCAGATTCAGGTAAGCGTATATATGCCAAAGGAAGGGAAAGGAGAGCACCAATATTTACACTGAACATGTACTGTATCATAGAATATACTGGAAATTTTCCCTGAATTATCTTGCAGAATTGCCACAGCTATCCTAAATATTATTTATCTATTTTTGAAAAACACATTCTGGATTTATTGTTTAATCTTACTATATATTCAGCTGAGATCTACAGATGTACTCAGTACATTGTAGTCATTGAGGGACACAAGTTGTTGGGAGAAGTTGCTGGAATATTTTCAGAAAATGTTCCTACACTAAAAATTTTGCATCAAATGTAGTACATGTGTAGTTTTGTTAGCCGTAGCCAAATTCACTTCCATGAAAATGTCACCACTTCGCAACCCCACCAGCAGTGTATGAAAGTGGCTACTCCCCCACGGTGTCAGCAGTAGAATGCATCGTTAAACTTTTGAATGTTTACCGGTCTAACAAATAAGATATCTCAGTACAGTGTTATTTCTCATATTATAAATAAAGTTGAATATATTATTATCCCTTTATGTGCCATTTTATATATGAACCTTTATAACTCTTGATTTATGTCTTTTGCAATTTCAAGTTTTTAGCAGTTTCTTCTCTTATTTTTTGAAAGTTCTTCTCAATTAAGAAAGTTACCTCTGTATATGTGGTAGATACTTTTATCCAGTTTTTTCTTTTGACTTTTTGGGTTTTGCCATGTGTGTTTTTGGGGTGTATTTATGTATTTTAGGATTTATCTTAGCTGGAATTGTGTATTTATTTTTTTTTCATGTGAATTTTAGAATTATTCATTCTAGTCCATAGGCTTTTTAAAGAGGCACAGTAGATTTATTTATACACAAGCTCACACAGATACACACTCGATATCTTTCCATCTGTTCACATCTGCTTTTTAGTCTTTCAGGATTGTTTTAAAATTTTGGTTATTAATGTGTTGTCCTTTTTGTGTTAGTTGATTCCTAAAATAGTACTTTTTTGTGTTCTTAATAAGTATGAAATTTTTGTTCTTGATTTTTTTTTTTACATGCTCATTTGGTATTTTGATGACTTTCTGAATAATTTAATTTCATTTTTAAATTTAGTTATTCTGTTAATTTTTAATTTTAGAATTATGCAGTATAGTTTTAGCTGTTCAGATCCTTAAGCCAGTCTATTAGTTTCTCTTGATAGCATTGGCTAATATCTTCAATACAATTCTAATAATAGTGAAGAGATTGTGCTTGTCCCATTTTCTAGAAGAGATTATGTTACTATTGTTGTGCTGTCAGGTCTCTTGCAATTCATAACAACCCTGTGTACAATAGCCCTAAACCCTGCTCTGTCCTGTGCCAATCTCACTATCTCTGACACACCCACCCAGATTACCCCAGTCACTGAATCAATCCACCTCATAGAAGTTCTTTCTCTCCTGAGCTGTCCCTCCACCCTCCCAAGCATGATGTCCTTCTCTAAGGACTGGTCTCTCCTTACAACAAGTCCAAAATATGTTAGACGGAGCCTCAGAATCTTTGCCTCCAAGGAGCAGCCTGGTTTAACCATCTCTAGGGTGGACCTGTTCATTTTCTTAGCAGTCCATGGTACAGTCAATACTCTTTTCCAGCACCACAGCTCAAAGGCATAAATTCTCCTTCTATCCTCCCTAGTCATTGTCCAACTCTCTGATGTATAACAAGTGATTGCAAAGACCATGGCCTGTATCAGGTACACCTTAATCTCCAGAATGACACCATTGCTCTTTAGTACCCTGGAGAGGTCCCTAAAAGCTCAAGCCATGCTGTAAAACTCTGTAAATATTCTAAAACCAATGCATTTTTTACATAATAAGGATGACTTTTATAGTGTATAAGTCATCCTATCTTAGTAAAGTTAGTCTTTTTGTTTTGTTTTGTTTTGTTTTTTTAAGTAGGCAAGAAAGAGCTCAAGCTGATAAGTGACAAAGCTGTGATTGAATCTCGGGTCATTTTAATTCCCAAGACCTCTGTTTTTAAAAATTAAAGTATATTGCTTCCCCAGTCTTTGAATATTTGTTTTAAGAAGATAAGACTCCTTTGTGCTTCTGCCATTCTCCAGTGGCTTAGATAGATGCAGTGTGTTGATTGGTTTAGTCTACCAGTTTATCCAATGTGTTTTCCTCTTCTCATTTTTTTTCTTCATTTATAAGAAACAATTTAAAAGCCCCTCTTCCATTTGCTTTGACAGGAGCTTAATCTGGAAATGCAAGACCAACAGGAGAACCTGGATACTCTTGAGCACCTGGTTACTGAACTGAGCTCCTCTGGCTTTGCACTGGACTTATCCCAGCACCAGGACAGGGTCCAGAATCTCAAGAAAGACTTCACAGAGTTACAGAAAACCGTTAAAGGAAGGTGAGCTTTCATGTATGTGCAGTCAGTGACAGGAGCTAATATTTTTCATTGTTGGGTGTAGTTTCTTTTTCCTCTTCCTTCATCAGAAAAGATGACATCATTTAACGGAACAGAAAGCTATATAACCTTCTTAATCTTAACTATTCCATAAGGGTATCAGTTGCTGGTTCTGGGATCAGGGGACCACAATCTTGAAGGGCATCCAGGTCAATAGGCAAAATGTAGTCCATAAAAGATAATGTTCTACATTCTACTTTGTTGGCTTGTGAACCTCTGAGATGCACATCTATTGGTCTGTCCCTGTCTCAAACAACAAAAAGGGATGAAAAGTAAAGATATATTGAAACAGCCCAGAGGATCCCCTACTACCCCTGAGCACTCTAAAAAGGATTGCAGAAGAATATCCCAGATAGAGTGGGGGGAAATGTGGAGCAAGACTCAAAAACATAAAAAAGACTTAACTTACTGGTCAATAGAGTCTCGTGTGTCACCTCTCAAAATATGGCCTTTAATTGCCTTTGAAACATAGACCAAAACTCACCTTGGCTTCACTTTCAAACAGTGGACAAGTCTATAAGGTGACCAATCGCTGGGATGCACTCACTCCTCAGAATGGGCAACCATATATGATCAAAAGAGCAACATTTGCTCAAGGATAAAGCCAGAAGACTGCAAAGGGTAGGGTAGAAGGATTAATGGAAATGAGAATTACAGAGAAGTAGGGAAAGTGCAGTTACATTTCGGGTATTTAATGCTATAAAACAAAATATGTATGTGTGATAGAATGGAAAACCAGTTTGTTTTATAAACCTCCACTCAAATTCGTTTTATAAATTTGCAAAAGAGAAAAGATGACATCAAGAACTCTGATACTAAGATGTAAATTCAACAGCTGGTTGCTGTCAGGCTGAAACCGACCAGTAGTGGGCCCTGCAGTGGGTTTTCAGAGGCTGTAAGTCTTATGAAAGGAGATTGCTCATCTTTCTCCTGAGGAGCACATCATGATTTTGAACCTCCTGTCTTGGATTGTCACTGCACTAGGCCACCAGAGCCCCCTATTAAGATAAGTTGTTGTTGATTGCCTTTGAGTCAAGCATGACCCCATAAACAAAAGGCCTGAAGCCCCTCTACAACCATCGACATTTATCGAAGTTCATAGTTTCCAGAGGCATGTTGTTTAGGAAGTGGATGCCACTCCTGCTTCCATTCCTGTTAAGATAGAGGAGAATGGGAAATGCCAATTTCATGCAAAGCTCCCCAAGTTACTCAGTGCTTAGTGATTTCTCTGTCACTATGTGAATTTCTCTCATTTGTGGGCTTCTTAGTTATGAGAGTTTTCCTCTCAGTAGACTCTAAAGGCCAGGTTACATGGGCTAAAAAGAACAAATTAGTGGAATTGTTTTGAGATTTCCCAGGTGTAATTAAAGATTATATTGACATTCTCTGCTTGTTTTGACCACATTTAAGTTGCTGTTTTGAGATAATGTCCCTTGCTTCTTTCAAGGGCAACAAGGGAATGTATGATAAAGATCTATTTTACATTCTCAACTCCCTATTGGAAAGTGACCCATGTAACCCTTTTCCCTTTAGAAATCTTCACATGGGTTTACAAGAATGTTAACAAGACTTATTAATCAAATTGTCCTTTAGCCATAAATAAGCTTGGTTTAGCAGATAGCTGTCTTATTCCTAAGAGGAAAGCAATTGCTCAAATACTAAGTTACTCATTGCTCTCATGTAATTTCTGACTCATGGGGACTCTGTTCCAGAGCAGAACAACTACCTAGGATTTTCTTGACTGGCAGCACAATGTTTGAGCTAACTGAAAAGTTATCAGTTCAGACTCCCCCAGTAATTCCATGAGAAAAACATCCAGTGATCTGCTCTTCTAAAGAATATAGCCTAGGAAACTCTGTGAAGTAGTTCTGATCTGTCATGTGGGGCCACTGTGAGTCAAAATCAGCTTGATGACACACAACATTAACAATCTTAACAGAAGCAAATTACCAGACCTTTCTTCCATGAAGCTTTACGTTGATAATGGTGGCAAAACACTTGTACTACCTGGGGATCTTTAAGTATCATGCTTTTTACTTGTACCAGCCATCATGCACAGAACAAACTGCTTTATAAGGCTGTAAATCTCTAGGTAACTAATCACCCAGTCTTTTCTCTCTCAGAGTTACTGGTTCAGAACACCAACCTTTTGGTTAGCAGTCCTGTACTTAACCAGAGGCTGTAAGTCACATGAGAGGAGTCACATGATGGAGGGGATCAGGATAAAGGCCAAGAAGCTTTTCTTTTCCATCCCATATGCTTGAGAGCCTTCTTGGTCATTTCCAAACCTGTGGTTAAATTCTCTGTGATATTTTCTCCATTGGTGACTAATCATGTGAATTCTCTGAGCCTCTGTTTAGCATCTTGCTTGCAAAAGAAATTAGCATTTTAATGTTGCCTTGGGAAAATCAAGTATCTAAAAAGTAGAAGAGCTAGACTTTGGATCCAAGGCCTGCATTCTTTCCATTGTATCATGCTACCTAAATAGCAGACGGCTTTTAGTTTTTCTCACTTTCACTTTAGCCCAGAGCAGAATTGAAGAGCCTTCCCTCAGAAATGTCCAAACAAGGACAACAGATTCATTCTTGAGGTCAATACTCTTCTACATTATATGTGATTGTTTAGCCAAACTTGCTTTGGAAAAGATGATGGAAAGGAAAAACTCAGCTAGTAACTGATGCTTACAGTACCAACATGAAGTTAGTCTTAGGTAATATTGACTTTTTAAATAAAGCTTAATTTGGCAAATAATAAAACTTCTTCATTGACAGAGAGGAAGATGCATCATCTTGCCAAGAGCAATTGGATGAATTCAGAAAGCTAATTAGGACTTTCCAGAAATGGCTGAAGGAAACCGAAGGGAATATTCCGCCTACAGAGACTTTCAGGAGCACTAAAGAACTGGAAAAAGAGATTGAACACCTGAAGGTAAAGAAACAAGAGAGTATCCAGAAATCGGGCTGTACAGCAATTAAAAAACTTGGTTACATTCTGTTTCTCCCTATCCTTCATTCACATTCTGTTTCATACAATCATTCCTATTCATTGTGTTTTGTAAATTAATCATCATTGAACTATGCCCACCGTTACCCCATCTTTTTAGACTCCCGCCAGATCCTTCCCTATGACTTCTGTATGCACACTAATGAAAAGTTTAAAAAATTTTACTTAAGAAAAAACCAAACTAAAAGATACTAGGTTGAAGGAGAAGAAGAAATAATTAAAAAAACAAAACCACCTCATTTAAACTAATCTCCAAATATAGTTGTTGTTGTTGTTGTGTGCCATCAAGTCAACTCATAGCAACTCCATGAACAACCGATGTGAATCCTGCCCTATCCTGTGCCATCCTCACCATCACTGTGGCAGTCAGTCTCGTTGAAGGTCTTCCTCTCTCTTGCTAACCCTTTGCCTTTCCAAGTATGACATCCCTTTCCAAAAAATAGCTCCTCCTAACAACCTGGAGCTAATAGTACTCCACATAATAAAACAGACTCAGATGGTCTGAAGATACCCACAAGGGTGGACCAGCCTCCCTCCCATCCCCTGCAGAATCCCTTCTTACCACTTGTAATCATCTAACCTTCCCTTGCACTCCAATATATGTCCTTTTTTGTGGAACACAACTGAAGTTGCCTACAGCTGACTCTGACACGTTCATCTTTGTTTTCTCAGCAAAACAGGCTTTATCTCAAGCAGATGAAAGAATTTGCTTTCACAGAGAGGGCACTTAGAAGTTGTGCTATGGAAAATTCCCTAGTTCTGAAGTTCCTAAAACTTTCTTGGTTCATTTGTGACCTTAGGATTTCAGGAAAATTTTCACAAGTACCTCTAAAAAGAGACTGAAAAGAATCTATTCCACTTGTTAAGTAGTTAGATTAAACAATTTAGTAGTAGTTCTCATGATGTCCAACAGATGTCACTGTATTTCTCTGAATAATTTAAAATCTCTTTGAAGTCAGTGCAGTCTGGATACTGTAGTCCTGTAGAATCAAAGTGACTAATAAAGAAATGCCAAGTGATGATTGAACATCAGTATCAAGTTAAGTGGTATGAATTTGCTGCATGTAAATAGTTTTGTGTCTTTCTCTGCCTGCCAGCTTACTGGTAAAGGAATTGTGTTGGGAACTGAAAGGCACTCAGTTTAAATCCACCTGCTGCTGGACAGTCTCCTCTCGTGTAATTAACTATCTCTGACAGGCCACTGCAGGGTCAGCTATGGGTAAATTCTGACTCGATGGTACCAGCAACAACTCTGCAGCTTACAGTTAAAAGCTAAGTAAATCACCAGTGAAGTTCAATGTGGAGGAAGGGAACAAAGACTAAAACCCTACTGCTGTAAAAGGAGTAAAATTCTGTTATGGCAAGTAACCCACATTTTAGAGACTTAGCATAAACCTAGTACTTGTGTCTTAGTGCAGAAACTGTTGTTTCCGAATAGCTTTTTATGGTAGTTAGAACTCTGTCTTCAAACCCATCATAAAGTTCCCTTGATAAATGCTGCTTTAGGTAGGTATTTTTTCTAATGCTGAATATCCTAACTCCTCATTTTACCATTCTTTCATTTGTACTATACTCAATCTTCCCACCCTTTTGTCCTGTTGGCAACTCATGTCTTTAAGGTCTCCTCACTCTACATTGAGTTAACTCCTGTGCTTTCAGTTTCCTGACTTTCCCTTTTTTTTCCTCCCCTGTAATAGCATTTGTTATAATGTGATTGGTGATTTGAGTTTCTGGGTTTTAGAGATTTTTGTCAATGCTTTGTATCACTAGTGTTTGGCAAAGGTCCTGATCCACATGAAAAACTCAGTAAATATTTAATGAATAAATGAATGAATTAGATGTTCCTGAATATTCTGTATCATTCTTCCAAACCTTGACTGGTTAAACCAAGATCTTGAAAAGGCTAAATATATGCATATCTTCTCTTAATGCTTCCATAATTTAGGGGTTATTTATATAAGAAAAAGTATTACAAGTTTATTATGAGGAGATGGCCTCAGATGTTGAGTTTAGCCATTTTGGTTTTTTAAACAGAGTCTCCTCGATGAGTGGACGAGTAAGGAAATCTTGGTCGAAGAAATCAATTGCAAAGGAACTTCTTTAGAAAACCTCATCATGGAGATCACAGCACCTGATTCCCAAGCCAAGACAGGTGAGTGCAGTCTCCTTCTTTAATTGGTCAGGGTCCAGTCTGACTCTGAGGTCAGAGTGGTTCACAAGGCAGTCTCCCTTCTCCTCCCAATTAGGCTTATTTTTCTTTTTGTTGTGTAGCATTGCTCAATTTTGCAAAATTATTTCTCATGATGAGATAAGTAAATAGAATAGTTGGGCCACTTAGAACTGTCAAATAAACATGGGAAGATTAAAATGTTTTCCATTTTGAAAAATTTCTACTAACCATATAAATGGGATAAGAATACATCATCCTTAACTGGGGTCAACTCCAGCTCTGCAAAGTGATCTCCTGAGAGAAACTAGATACTCGGGAGTCAGTAATGGTCCACCAGGGACTAGCACACTTCTTGGAATCGGGCATAAAGACAGTTTATCCAGGAGACCACAGTTTGTTGGTTTTGGATATGAACTTGATAGTTGATTTTTCAGGTGTTCTTAAAGCATATTCTAGAACTTTAAAAACAAACAAACAAAACACCCAGCTAAAAACAGCTAAGAATAGCTTTGCAGGGAGCTCTGGTGGCCTAGTGGCAAAGAAGCTGCAGTTCCAAATGCACACAGTTCAAATCTACCAGATGCTCTGCTGGAAAAGGAGGGGCAATCTGTTGCTGTGCCAGTCAGATCTGATTTGACAGTACACAATAAGAAAAGGGGAGAGGGAAAAAAAGAAAAGTTTTGCATAAAATTACCTGTAAGCTGATATGTGCATTACATGAGTATATTCTTCCCCCTCCCCCCAAGGAATTTAAGCTGGTTTAACATCTTTGTTGATGCTTAAGTGCATTTCAAACAAGAAATACTCATCATGAGTAATATTTATTAGTGAACCAAATATAGAAGCTCCCTTATTTGAATATCTGTGTGATAGCCATAACAAAAATTTCATTGCAAAAGAGTATATTCTTTAAGAAGGAAGATTATTGGAAACAACTTCAGTATCTGATTTATTTCTGATTTTATTTGGCTTCATTACATCTAGAAAAATATGACTCACAGGTAAGTAGTTGTAAATGACAGGTTTTTAAAATATTATACTCTTAGACTACACTAATTAAACTCAGTGATAAGCATGAAAACAATAATAAATTCTTGACTCAAAGTTAGAACATGCAGAATATCTAATAAGGACTCATGTTCTTAAGTATATATTTAAAAATACCAATACTTAAAATAAGCATTGGAAATAAAAGATGTCACTGTAATGCTATTGTTAAAACCTGAAGTGTTAAAATTCTATTATTATATAATAAAATTCTATTCTATTCTGCCCTGGTAAAGGCTTTCAAGTAGATATACCCCAACCTTTTTTCTCCAATTCTTTATTCTTCCCTAAAAGGCAGTATGAATTAATTCTATCTAGTAAGTTAGAAAACATAGAGAAATTATGTTAGTTATCGAACGGGGATCATGTCTTTTCTTCATATGGTCGCCATGAGTCATGTTCGACTTGATGGCACTTAACCATTGCTGAGTGAGACTAGTGTTATATTTTGGAGGAATATTCTTCTAAGTTGTACAGCACTCTTCTGTCAATAATGCTGCACTGAGATAATCTGGGCTTTCTATGATGCTGAACCTTGTGCCATTAGGGTGTCAGATGCCAAAATGGTTGCCCAGGTGGACAGTGTTTGGTGGAGCTCCCAGTTTAAGACAGGTTTGGAAGCAGGAGTGGCATCCACTGTGAACTTGAAGAAATGATGATACTTATAGAAAGGCTTCAGTTCTTTTGTTCATAGGGTAGCTATGGGTCATGCTCAACTCAACAGCAATCAACAACAACAGTAGGTTAAAATAGTGTTTACCATAACTGTACATGTTTACTTCCAATTCTAAGTAGTTGGAAATACATTCTCAATATTAAATTTAAACCAAAACTTTACAGACTCTCTAGAACACCTTCTCAGTGCTTGAAAATCACTCACCTGGATGTTCCTTGGGAGTTTCCTTCCAACTCTGAAAAACCATGAGTAGTAATCTTGTGTGCTTTTTTTGGTTAAATAAAATGCTTTCACATGCATTATGTCATTACTTTTCTCCATGAGCCCCATGAGAGTTGACTGGGTAGATAGTAAGGAAGAAACTAGTCTGTCCATCATAGAAAACGGCTCACATATAGAGCTAGTGACAGTCTTGGATAGGACTGTGTTCTCCAAATTACGAGTCCACTTTCTTTTTTTCTGTCACTACATTTTAGTGGACAGTGATTGTTCTATATCTTTTTTAAAAATATATAACCTTCCAGATGACTTTTTTCCACAGTGAAATTATGAATATGAGAATTTATTTTGTCCTTATATTTATTTCTTAATTGTTAAAGGTTTTCTTTTCTTTTCAGTGAAAGTTTAGGTTATTAGAAAAGGACCAAAACCAGAATCCAAAAAAAAAAAACAAAACCAGAATCCATGATAATGTTTTTTTAATAGCATTTTGGCATTAGAATTTTTATTTTCTTTGAAGAATAGGGAAGCCATGAGAGGAAAGGTAGAGAATATTCCTTTAGGACAATATAAGTTGGACTCATTTTAATGTCCTTATAGAAAGAGTGCTGTTTCTTATGTTATTAAATGTAATGTTCATTTTTATGTGAAAGGGCATCAGTGTTAAAGTTGAATTTAATTTCATTGTCATTTTCATTCCAAAATGTAGCAGATGCCTTGCCAATTACTTAATACCATTATCCATACTAGCTTCAAAAAATTGCCGAAAAATCAAGTTGTAAATTTCAGAAGCAAATTTGCATTTTCTGTATGAAAGGTTAAGCATTTGTCGCTACTAAGGAGCAGGTTTGCGATTCTAATGACACTGTTGTCTGGCTGCTGAAATGATCTGTCTTTTCCCATGAGTTTGTTGTCTTGTGCTGTGTTAACTTCTTGATACCCAAGCTTTAAGTGAGTGCCAAAAAAACATATTCAGTGCCTGTTTGTATTCCTAACATGTTTGTCTTGCCCTGTTTGTCTCTCTGTCCTTCTGCTCAGGTTCCATACTGCCCTCTGTAGGAAGCTCTGTAGGCAGTGTAAACGGATACCACACCTGCAAAGGTGAGAACTCCACTTCAACAGTGCCTCTTTGTTGGGTGTGTTAGGCTAGTGCTCACGTGTCTGTGTATGTTTCCCTGTGTGTGAAAAACTATTGCCAGGATAAGTGTGAGGGTAAAAATCTGGGAGAAATAACAGTAAAGCTTCTGTTTGCTGGCTGTAGGCTAAATACTTTGACAGATGATGAACTGAAAATACCAAATAAATAGAGTGGACCTCTAGATAAGACCAATGAGGGAAGAGCCTGAAGAAAATATATGTAAATCTTAGCATTACAAAACACCTGTATTAGAGCATCTGTACGGGAGGCTGGGAGCCTTGGTGACCAAGTCCCAAGGAAACTGTGCTGTTAATCCAAAGTTCTACTCCCCTAGTGGGTCCCGGGGAAAAAGATGAACAGTCTCCTCCCATGTGATTTAGAGCCTCTGAAACCTGATGGAGAGTCAGATGAAAGTTGATTCCAACTTGATGATAATGAGATAGAGGTTCTAGGGCTCATGTAATCGAGCTCTGAACTGTTCAGTCTCTGTCATTCAGAGAAAAGGTAACAGATGGAAAAACGGAGGACAGTGTCCAAATTGATTAATCACAGCACGATCGATCCTAAAGCAAAATTCTTTCTCAGTCCTTTCATTTCTGTTGTTCCGATGTTTAGTAAGCATTTTAATGTGTGTATCTGAGTATGTAATCTCCGTGCCAAGAAGCGTATTAAAGGTTTTTTTGCTTTGTGTATGTATACATGAACATATACGTACATGTATACATGTTATTTAGCAGGAAAATAATCTGTAGTTTGCTAGAAAAAGTAGAGTTGCCCGAACGTGACAACTAATTAAGAAGTGAGGCACCAAAGTTGAGTGAGAGAGCGCTGCAAGAGCTATTCCCAGACTAATTTCTCTTTCTATGATACTAGATCTGACAGAAATCCAGTGTGACATGTCAGATGTAAACTTGAAGTATGAAAAATTGGGGGGATTACTTCGGGAACGCCAGGAGAGCCTTCAAGCTATGCTCAGCAGGCTGCAGGAAGTTCAGAAGGAGGCAAACGCAGTGCTGCAGTGGCTCGAATCAAAAGAAGAAGTCCTGAAGGCCACAGATGCCTCTTCATCGCCAACCAAACCAGAGACCGTGAAAGCCCAAGCTGAATCTAATAAGGTACTGTGTTTACATTAGCTCTGTCCCACCCACTGAGAGGATAAGCCCTGACATGAAGAACATTTACTGCACCTGGATTCATGCCCGAGTCTAATGACCTGAGAGTGAGACATGCCCAACCACAAAGGCAATGATAGGCCATTTGTTTGGCTTTTAAGTGATTAGTCTTAACTCGCACAGAACATTTTCTACTTATGGAATTAGAAATTGTTATAAATGAGTTTCAGAAACAAAATCAAGTCTATTAGAAATACCAACTCATTGCTAATGAGATCTCATTTTCATAGGATAATGGCAGAGAGCAAAGCCATTCTATTCAAAGGACTTTTCCAACTCTAGAAGCGATCTGAATAGCTGTAATTATAGTTTCTTCTTAAGCTATACATGTGGGACTGAGAAGAAATAAAGCCATATTAAAAATAAAAACCAAAATCTTAAGAACATATTCCAGTGGAACAGCAGAGTCTTAGATCCACATTAAAGTGAAACATGATATGAGAAAAATGGCATCATTGGCCTATACTGATATAAGTAAAATTTGGATCCTGTTATCCAAATGTTCATTTTCTTACATATTTTTAATTGTAATTTCAGTAAAAGTTTACAAAGCAGATTTTTCATTAAACAAATCATACATATTTTTCCTAACATTATTTCAGTATTCATAATGTAATCATACTTATTCCACTTTCTCTCTAAAATTCTGATTTCCATTAATCTTTTTATACTTCTGTGTGTCTTCCCTTTCCTTAGTGATAGTGATCAGCATAAGTTGATCGTCCCCTTACTGAATGCTACCTTAGTACTTACTGAATACCATCTTACTGTTATCTATTTGGGAGCTCTGGTGGCTTAATGGTAAGGAGCGCACTGCCAATCTAAAGGCACATGGTTTGTATCCACAGCTATTTTGTGGGAGAAAGATAGGCAGTCTCTTCCCATGTGATTAACTGCCTCTGAAAATCCACAACTGCATTATGCATTTACTGATCTTTAATCTTCCCTCCCTCTTTCTTATCCCTGGTAACTGGCCAAGAAGGATTCTATCTATATGTAAATATTTCCTTACCTTTTTAGAACTGTAGTAGTCTTATTCATCTTATTATGTCTTATTTCACTTAACATAATGTCCTCTAGATGCATCCATATTATGCAGTGTTGTGTTCTTTATTTTTTCATATTTAAAGCATTCCATTACTTGAGAGTACCATAATCTTTAGCCATCTCTCCATTGATAGACACTTGTTTCTGTCTCCTTGCTATTATTAATAATGCTGCAGTGAACATACGTGTGTGTGTACATCTGTTCATGCAACCATTGTTATTTCTTTGGGTTGCTTACCTAGTGGTGGAATTGCTGAGTCAAAAGGCATTTTAACTCTCAGCTTTCTAAGGAAGCCCCAAACTACTTTCAGTCGATGGCTGTACCATTTTACATTACCACCAGCAGTGTATGAAATTTCTTATTTATCCACACCCTTGTCAGCACTTATTGTTTGCTGTCTTATTGAACTTTGCTATTGTTGCTGGGGTGTGTTTTCATTTTGGTTAGCTACACCCAGTATACTATTGAATGCTCAATCAGAACACCTTCATATTTTCACTAAGTGAAAATTGTGAAGCAGAAAAGCTAAATGTTCCTTAAGATCACAGATTCAGTCAGTAGTGGAATTGGAAGTGGACCCTATAGTTGGAGGCCAGTCCTGCAGTCATTGCTGTTAAACATATAGCTTTCTTTCTTGGCTGGAGTTGCATGACATATTGATGTTCTTTCTCTTAGGCCTTCCTAGCAGAATTGGAACAGAATGCTCCAAAGATCCAAAAGGTAAAAGAAGCCCTCGCTGGATTACTGATGACATATCCCACCTCACAAGAAGCAGAAAATTGGAAGAAAATGCAAGAGGATCTCAGTAAGTTATCATAAGTGTTGCAGATTCACTAAATTTCTTGTCCCCAAAGTAAATTCAAGAATCTTTTTTTAACTTTCTATAAACAAGTGAGAGAGTCAGAGTATGAAATTGATGACAGGAGAAAAATAGAGATTCTAGCTAAAATGTAGAAGTTGAGCATTTTTTTGGCAAGTCAGAGTCACGGTCCACTCTAAGAACTAAAGTGAAAATTAGGAGAAGATACAGATACGGTGACCAGCCTTGGGGAGTAAAGGGTCCTGGGCACCAACCCTGGGATTGTATTCCCAAGATGTTCCCAGCACTCTGCAAAGACTGGGTGGACTGAGGTGGAAGTGGCCCCTCCCCCCAGCCTCAGAAAACACAGGTACACTACTAGCAGAGACCACCATTGAGACAATCATCAAGTAGCAGCCATCCAGTCTTGGGAAAGGAAGAGAAGGATCTTGAAAATTTCTGGGAAGTTCCCAGCTCTTTTCAGGGGCTTTGTCAGCCCAAAGGAGGAGAAACTCTGACCTCTAATCACTGCACATAATGTCAAAGAGGCAGTAGACTGGATCAAGTACTATGAAAAAGCAAAACAAGCCTTCTCTTAAAACCCCAGACCAGATTAAAGACCCAAAGAATACCTCAGAGACAGGAAAGCGGAAGAAATAGACTAAGTTTTTGGAGTTCCAAGAACTCGTACTGCAGAAGTTACAAATGTCGGAAGAAGGAGTTTAAGCTATAGGTTAAGAGCAACAAGAAAGAGAAAAACCATTACAAGACAGTCAGAATACAATCAGCACAGTACAAGAAACAGAAAAGTAATGGAAATACAAATCAGAATATGAAGAATGAAATGACAGAAATTCTCAACATGATAGAGGCACAGAAAGGCAGACTAGAAGAGATGGAGCAGAGATTCAGCAAGTTAGAAGACAAGAACCTCAAAGAAAACTTACAAGAAGAAAAATCAAACACAGAAGGAAAATGAAGAAAACATTAGAATCATGTGGGATGACATCAAACAAAACAAAATACACATGATTGGAATTCCAGAACCAGGGGTGTGAGGAGGGAAAAAACCATGAAGAAAATTATGAAGAGATACTCTATGAAAACTTCCCAGGTGTTGTAAAAAACAAAGAAATACACATTCCAGAAGTTCAGTGAACACCAGACTAGACTCCAAAAGAAAAACATCAAGACATATCATTGTCAGAAAGGAAAACAAAAATATATATAAAGAAAGAGGTATCATTGTCACACCTTCCAGAATCAAAGAGTAGAAGACTAAAAGCAGTATGAGAAAAACAGAAGGTCAGAAACAGAGGAGAACCAATTAGATTTAGCTCTGACTTCTCATCAGAAACCATGCAACAAAATAGACAGTGGGATAGAATATGCAGAAGTCTGAATGAAAACAGTTGTCAGCCAAAGATCCGGTACCTAGCAAAGCTGTACATCAACTATGAAAGAGAAATTAGGTCATTTGTAGATAAGCAAGAACTTAAGGATTTTGTGAAAACAAGACCAAATCTGTAAGAAATACTGAGGGAAGCCCTTCATATAGAGACAGTGGAGGAAAGAGAATAGACCAGAGCAACCAACAACAACAAAAAAGGATGCATCAAAATGGCAACAATAAAAACTAGCCCATCAAAAGGGAGCTCTGGTGGCCTAGTAGCAAGAAGCTGCACTACAATCCCAAAGGCACACAGTTCAGATCCACCAGATGCTCTGCTGGAGAAGGAGGGGTAGTCTCTTCCTGTGCCAAATTTGATGGTACACAAGAAAAACAAAATACCAAAAACTAGCCCATCAAAAATAACATTCAATCTGAGTAGGTTGTTCTTGTTGTTGTTAAGTGCCATCGAATCGCAGGCGACTCGTAGCGACCCTATGAAGGAGAGTCCTCAACACTTGTGTGTCTTTCATCCTCTCTCCAGGTTCATAGGGTTTCCGGAGGCAAGCTATTATGGAAGTGGATGCCACTCCTCCTTCCACGCTTATTTTAATCAGGGAGCTCCAGCCTACACTGTCTGTATTGGGTAACCAACCATTAACGCATTTGACACATCAGTGTCACAGTGTTCAGCCTCACAGCAAACACAAGTTACTGCTGTACTGCAAGTGGACACACCAGGGCCATACGACCTAGAGGAATGTTTGAACAAAAACAATGAAAGACAGGCCCAAGGGCCACAGATTAAAAGTCACCCACCTTTGGCTTGGTTGCACTGCTTTCTGTCCACTGGGCCAAGGGATCTCTCTCTATGTTGATGTTATTGTTTTTAAGTGCCATCGAGTCGCAGGCAACTCATAGCGACCCTATGAAGGAGAGTCCTCAGTGCTCTGAGTGGGTTAAACACATCAATAAAGAGAAAAAGAGCAGCCAAATGGATAAACAGCTGATCAGTGTGTTGCCTACAGGAGACATATCTAACAAATGAGAAGAAAGATGGATTACAAATCAGAAAGGGTGGAAAAAATATATACCAAGCAAATGGCATCCATAACAAAACTGGAGTGACAATACTAATCACTGATAAAATAGACTTCAGGATGAAAATCTCCATAAGAAACAAGGAAGGACACTATATAATGATTAAAGGAACCCTAGATCAAGAGGACATATCCTTAGTTAACATCTCTGTGCCTAATGATTATTGTTAGGTGCTGTCAAGTCGAGTATGACTCATAGCAACCCTGTGAACAGCAGATTTGATCTATATCCTATTCTGTGCCATCCGCACACTTCCTGACACACTGCCCATTGTGGCAGTCACAGTGTCGATAGACCTGGTCGAGGGTCTTCCTCTCCCCAACAAATAACCCCTCCTAGCAACATGCCCAGAATAAGTGAGGCAAAGCCTTATTATCCTTGCCTACAAAGAATACTTTGGCTGTACACTCCAAGATACATCTATTTGTTCTTTTGGCTTTCCGTGGGATATCCAGTGCTCTTCTCCAACACCACAGCTCAAAAGCATCATTCTTCTTCTGTCATCCCTATTCATTGTCCAGTTCAGATACATAGCAAGTAATTAGAAAGACCATAGCCCAAATACGGCACACCTTAGTCCTCAAACTGACATCATTACTTATCAATAATTTGGAGAGGTCACTAACTACAGACTTTCCCAGTGCAATGCATCTCCTTATTTCCTGACTGCAAGTACCAAATTATGGATCCAAGTTAGATGACACTTACCTAAAGGTAGACCTGCACAATATGCAAAGAAATAGTTGACAAAATTGAAGCAAGAAATAGACAACACTACAATAGTAGTTGGAGACTTCAACACACCACTTTTACCAAGAGACAGACCAACTCAAAAGAAATTCAACAAAGAAAAACTAAGCCAGCTTAACCTCATAGACATATTCAGGATACCTCACTCAACAAAAACTCAGTTTACTTTCTTTTCAAGTGCACATGATACATTCTCTGGGATTGACCACATATTAGGAAACAGAGCAAGCCTCAACAAATTAAAAGAAAACAAATAATACAAAGTGTCTTCTCAGTCTATAATGTTGTAAAGACAGAATTAAACAAAAGAAAAGGGAAAAAAAGAACACCCATGTGGAAGCTAACTAACACTTGCTTGAGCATGACTGGATTATAGAAGAAATAAAAACTGACATAAAATAGTTGCTTAAATACATGAAAATACATCAAATCAAAACCTCTGAGACATAGCTAAGGCAATCCTCAGGAATCAGTTTATAGCAATAAGTAAACACATTAAAAAAAAAAAGAAGAAAGAAGCAAAATAAGCTACTTACCTCAACACCTCTTGCAGATAGAAAAAGAACAACAAGCTAATCCTATAGCTTCTAGAAGAAAGGGAATTATAAGGATTAAGGGTTGAAATCAACAGGATAGAAAACGGAAAAACAATTGAAATCATCAACAAAACCAGGAGCTAATTCTGTGAAAAGATCAATAAAATAGAAAAGCCATTGGCAAACTTAGCAGCAGAAAAGAACCAAATTACTTAAAAGAAGAAATAAAAGAGATGACATCACAACAGAACCAGCTGAAATGAAATCAATAATATTGGAATATTAAGAAAAGCTATATTCTGGAAATACAGTGATATGTTGAAGTCTCCTCATACTAGGTTGGTATTGAAAATCTAGAGGCAGTGGGCAAATTTCTAGAAACCCACATCCTTCCCAAATTGACGGAAGTAAAATACTTGAACAGACCTATCACAAAAGAAGAAATTGAGCAGGTCATAAAAAGTTCTGGCCCAGATGGCTTCATGGGTGAAATTACCAAATATTCAGTCCCAGTTACCACCAATTCTATTTAAATTATTTGTAAAAGATAGAAAAAGGAGAAACATTCCTGGAGTCATTCTATGAAGCAAGCATAACCCTAAAACCAAAACTAGGCATGTAAAAAAAGCACAGAAGGAAACTGTGGATCGGTATCTCTCATGATCATAGGTGCAAAAATCCTTAGCAAAATCTTAGCCAATAGAATACAGTAGTATATAAGGAAAGTAACTCATTATGACCAAGTGGGATTCATAGAGGAATGCAGGGATGTTTCAACATATGAAATAAATTTAAAAATTAATCTATCACATTAACAAAGCAAAGAACAAACACTACATGTTCCTATCATTTGATGCCAAAAAGGCCTTTGAGTAAATCCAACATCCCTTCCGGATTAAAACACTCAGCAAAAGAGGAATAGAGGGAGATCTCCTTATCATCTTGAAACATACATACAAAACCAAGAGCCAACATCATTCTCAACAGAGAGACTAAAGACAGTCCTCTTGTAAACAGGACCAGACAAGGTTGCCCACCATCACCACTCCTATTCAGTATTGTATTGGAAGTTCTAGGTAGGTCAGTAAAGCAAGAGAAGATGATATGGTATTCAAGTTGGCAAAGTGGTGATTAAACTGTCATTTTATGCAGATGACATGATAGTGTACAAAGAAAATGCCAAAGACTCAACCAAAAACTATTAGACTTAGTAGACCAATTTAGTAAAG